ACACACATACACAAAAACACAACAATGAATCATAGCCAATATTCACTCTATGCAAAAAAAAAATGTGTTTTTTTAATAACAGCCACCATTTCAGTGGCATTGCCTTTGGAATTCAAATGTGCTCTTAGTATCTGGCAAAACTTCAAACTTGGGATATCTGTAATATCTAAGGTGATGTAAATATAAATGGGTTAACAAAATCTGATGCAATATAATTGTACAAACTGCCAATACCTCAGAAGCTAAGCATTTTCTCTACTATGGCAAAGAATGTCACTAAGAGGATCCTTTTTCTTCTTTTGCTTGATGTATTCAATTATTTCATTCAGGAAAACTTCAATATAGTTAAAAGCATTCTGTGAACTCTTAACATGAGCATGAGACAAAACCAACACATAACAATAAATATTTCCTCTCAGCAAACTTGCACATAATCTGACCTTAACAAACTCAAATCCTAGTGTATTGTAACTCAAAATTCCCCAGATCTAGATTTTTAAAAAATATACATTTTACATGGTTAAAAAGTGTGAGTTATACCACATCTGTGTAGTATAGAACATACATATTGAAAAGCTTTAGGTAAGTCTAGTTTTGCTAATTCTTGTAATTTAAAAAATATACATTTTACATGGTTAAAAAGTGTGAGTTATACCACATCTGTGTAGTATAGAACATACATATTGAAAAGCTTTAGGTAAGTCTAGTTTTGCTAATTCTTGTAATTTAAATGTACTAAAGGACCTAATAATAAATCCTTTAACAAAGAAAATGAGCACCCAGTACTTTCTTTGTGGCTATTTTTTATATATTGGGACCATTGTGTATATAACTTTTTACTAAATGTAGATTTATTTGAAACATTCCTATGTGTAATCTGTTGATAATTAATTTTGGTGGAAACCCATTTAAGTGACTAAATTGCATCTGACCTGTTCAGATATAATTTTAAGTAGATGCCTAATTTAGAACTAATAAAGTATAATTATGTAAAAACACCAGTCCCATTACCAAACAAAAATGAAATTAATTTCATATAGAGTATATTGCATAATATATTGCCTATGATTGTATGGCTTGAGATACAGGTTAACTCAACTGTTGGAAACTATTTCTAGGGAGAAAATGTGATTTTAAAACCTATTTGTGAGTAAAGTTAAAGAAAAAATAAAATATTAAATATTGAAATTCAAAATTAGATATAATGAAAAGCATCCAGAATTTAGTAGATGTATACCCTTACTTCCATTTCTACTCGTTTCCTCCTGTCCTGAGCCCTTTCTACGCAGAACTTGAAAAGTCACTCCTTTCTACATTTTAGTGGCAGATCTTGTTGAACCTGTATCCCAAGACTGGACAATGAAAGCTGGGAGGGAAGGCTGTCTCTAGGAAAGGCATTGCCTGCATGTTGCTGTGTCCCAGCGTGATGATGAATTCCTGTAATCATCTTGCCACTTGCCCGAAGACAAAGCTAAGAAGATATGGAGGTGGAGGAGCCAAGAGACTCCAAGAGAAATGGCTTTGAAGTCCTGACATAGTATGTCTGAAGATATCATTCTAAAAATTCTGAGTATTTTGATAGATAAAATTTCCTTTTGTAGGGTGAGTTGAGAATTTCTGTTACTTGAAGCCAAAGATATCCTAAGGATATTGAATTTGTTCTATCTTGTAAAATGTAGATTTAAAATATTCTTTTTGTCTGGCTAGTGTGGCTCAGTGGTTGAGCATCAACCCATGCACCAAGAGGTCACCTGTTCGATTCCTGGTCAGGGCACATGCCCAGGCTGTGGGCCCGATCCCCAGTGGGGAGCATGCAGGAGATGGACAATCAATGTTCTCTCTCATCGATATTTCTCTCTCTCTCTCTTCCTCTCTCTCTCAAATCAATAAAGGAAAAAAATATTTTTAAATATATATAAAAAAAATATTCTTTTCTCTACCTACTGTTTTTTATCTATTTTTTAAAAATTACATTAGGAGACATATTTTCAATTACAATACAAGTAAGCTAATTCTAAATCCTCGACAATTTTACTTCAACAATTCAAAAGTATCTTTAAAATATCAATTGATAACTTGATCTATATTAGTTCTTCTCAATCATGATTCCATAATTATGAGTAAATTAAAAAAGAAATGCAAGTTCATATGAGAGTTGGTCTTTAAAATATGTGTAGCTTCATTTAAAAACCCAAGTTCTTTGCGGAAAGAAAACTGATCTTTGAAAAATTAGCAACACTTAAAAATTCAGTAAGTAGAAATCATTTTCAGACAAGTCTTTGCCACTGAAAGATTAGACTTTATTTCTTTTCAATATGGACTTACAAAAATAGTAAGAACACAAAAATACCAATTCTAAGCCACTTTAAATAAAGTTCATTTTTAGCAACGATAAATTTCCTTTGAAAAATAAAACGTTAAAAGGCACATTTATGGAATTGGCTGTCCATGCAAGCAGATCTACACGGCGAACTTGGCGAGGTGTGTGCAGGCGGGACAGGAGAGGCAGCAGCTCCAGGCATCTCTATGTAAATCAGCTCTTACTAGAATGCTTATCAGAAAAGTGAAGACTCTTCTTATGTAACCAAGGCACTAAGACACACAACATTAAATTTTCTTGAAAGTATCAACCTCTATTAACAAGTAGAATGACTGGATCTTATTACACACAAATACACACAAAATTTACAATAAGCAAAATTTAAATAAATTAATCACACAATTCCACAGGATCATATCTTTTTGTAAACTGACTTAGTTATTTCCTATGGTAAATAGTTAAAAGTAAGCAATTTCTAATAAGCAATTTCTACCACATGATAGATTATTGTGCCATGAAATTATGGTTATAATTCATCTAGACATCTTACATTATATCCTATTAATTCTTTGTGCACATACAAGAGAACACAGTTCCCTGATATTTTGGTAATCCATTTATAAGCCTTATGAAATATTGTTCAAATATTTGAACATTGTGATAGACTGGATTATCAAGAAAGAGATGTCAAGGCTTGACACACCCACCATACTTCCCATTTTGTTGCCTGGTACCCTTTCTTTAAAAATCTGCTTTTGAGGTAAATACTTCTCAACACAGTGATTCAGAGAAACAATGAATTAGAGCTGGCATGAGTTTCACACAGATTCTTACAATAGAGTACTGTTTACTGAAACACCTTAGTAAATATTGAAAAGCAAAAGATTTACTATAGTTTATGGATACCATACTTGATATATTTCTTTTGTACTGCTAATATACAAAACAGAAGATTTGACTATATGGCTACAGAAAATAACTAAGCTGATTGAAAACTAAAACAGCAACAAGACCAAACTATTTTCTAGACACCTTTGGTATGAGCAAGTCAGAATTTTAAAACAAATTATTTAAATGTAAATAAATAACCCTTGCCTGTATTTTCAAAGTGGATTTCAAACAGCATGTAGTAATAATTAATATAATAAAGCCCTTTTATACTCGATCTTAGCCAAAATGCCAAGAAGTGATTAAAGCCCTTTTTTTTAATCCTCACTCGAGGATATGTTTGTTTTTTAAATTGATTTTGAGAGAGAGAGAGAGAGAGAGAGAGAGAGAGAGAGAGAAACATAGATCGGTTGCTGTCCCCACATACCCTGAACAGGGATTGAACCAGCAACCTAGAGGTATGTGCCCCAACAGGAATCGAACCTGCAACCTTTTATGTTGGTGTACAGGAGGACGCTCCACCAACTGAGCCACCCCGCCAGGGCTTTTTAATTTTTTAATAGCCCTTTAAAAATGTATAAAAAGGATCTAAGTGATATAGATGAAAGGTGGTAGAGAAGGAAAAGTCTGGAAATGGGACTAAAATAAAAATTATGCCGGACAACAGGCTAATTGATATAATTTCAATTTCTCAGAAAGTCAATTAGTGAATTTCTGATCAATCAAGGCTAAAAGTGAACCTGAATGGGTTATATAGCTCTCATGGTCTAATAAACAGAGACAAGAGTTCTACGAATAAAGCAACTTCCACTTTTCTGAACCCTGAGACAATATCACTACATAGAACAATAGAAAACAGACACTAAGAAACATAGCTGTTAAGCATAGTTCCTATGTTCTATATATATATATGACTTATTATATAGGGTATCTGATAAACACTGAAGGCATGATATTAAGCTACATAGGTATGAAGAGAATTAAGAGCAGGCCAACTTCTTGTCACCTAAATTGATACAGTTTTGTAACTTAAGGAATGTTAAAGTTAAGGTTTTACTATTTAAGTCACAATTTTGATAACTAGCAAGCAAGTGGATTACAGTCAACCAATGGAAAGAATAGCAAAATATCCTATAAAGCAGGTTTGTAGGCAACACTAAAAACTTCCATCACTAATTTCAGCCATCAGAAAATCAATCATGTCATGATACAAATTTAAAATTAATTCAGTACTTCAAACATTAATTCAAAATAAAATTAGATACTGACTTTGTACTAGAAATTTTTTAAATTTTGGTTTCTTTAAAAAAACTTAGATGAGAAATAAAACAAAAAATCTCTTTGTAAAAATAAATTACTTTGCCATCCTTAGATAAAAGAACTATTCTGAGAATATTTTCTTAGAAGAAATTAAAGCTAGCGATATTAAAATAAGAAAGAAAATATGCAGTTCAATCAATTACCTAACTTCAGTTGGTTCAAAATATAAAATAAAAATGTAACTAATTTGACCTATTGCTATGAACACATCAAAATCAGAAAAAATAATACAATATTGTAATGAAAAGTTATGCCTCTGTAAAATGAACCAAGCTTCTAAGATTCATTTTTCTGAAAAAAAAAAAAAAAAAAAAAAAAAAATTTTTTTTTTATAGACAGACCTTTTATCACCAAGTTTACTAAACTAAGCAGCCATCACTGGGAATTAAACTCGAGGAGGACAATTCAGGCAGAGATCACTATCATTTCCCCACCTGCCGCATTCACGGCTGGTGGGGTCCATTCTCCTCTCCTAGGGCCGCTGGGCCACCGCGATGTGGAGGGCCTTGGAGCCCAACATGCGGCCATTCATCTCGGCCATCGCTTTACTGGCCTCCTCTGGGGAGGAGAAGCAGATCAAGCCATACCCTTTGCTTCGTCCTTCTTCCTGCATTACCTTAACTCTGCTAACTGATCCAAAGGAAGAAAATTCCCTGCGGAGCTCTTCTTCATCAATGGTCTCATCGAGGTTCTTAATATAGAGCTTCACGCCCCGGCAGCGCCACAACCTTTCCTGTCTCTGCTGCTCGAACATTTGCTTTAACTCAGCTTGTCGCTCGGCTTTCTTTTGTGCCCGGCCTACAAAAACCTGCTGTCCGCAGATGTCCCTCCCGTTCATGATGTCAACGGCCCTTTTGGCCGCCTCGTGGGTATCAAAACTCACAAAGCCAAAGCCTTTGGATTTCCCGCTGGCATCGGTCATCACCTTGACACTCAGGATCTTGCCGTATTGGCAGAAAATTTCCTTCAGTTTCTCATCATTCATGTCGTCTCCAAAGTTTTTGATGTAAACATTGGTGAATTCGTTGGCTTTATTTTGGAGCTCGGCCTCCCGATCTCTGCGGTTTTTAAACGGGCCAACGAACAGCCTGCAGTCCTTAAGCAGCGTCCCGTTCATCTCCTCGATGGCTCTGTCTGCGGAGGTCTGGTTCTGAAAGTGCACAAATGCATAACCCCTGGAGCCCTGGTCGTCACACATCACCTTGGAGGACAGGATCTTCCCAAAAACCGAAAAATGTTCATAAAGCGTTTTGTTATCAATGGATTTGTCCAGATTCTTGATGAACACGTTCCCAATTCCAGATTTCCGTAGGTAGGAGTCGCGTTGAGACCACATGAGCCGGATGGATTTGCCCTGAACCAGGTCAAAGTTCATTGTGTCCAGGGCCTTCTGGGCATCGGCCACGTGCAGGAAGTTCACATAAGCGTAGCCCAGGGAGTGGCGGGTGACCAGGTCCCTGCAGACGCGGATGGACAGCACAGTTCCCACCGTGCTGAACTTCATGAACAGCATGTTCTCGGTGACGTCTTCGTGGAGATCGCCCACATACAGAGAGGCCTGGCGGTACTTGGCTTCCACACTCATGCTGCTGCTCCCCTGGCTCGAGGGCCTGTCCCCTCACAGCGTTCCTGCAGGAGAGCGGCCAGGCCACCGCTGGGGCCCGGCTCACAGCGTGCTGGCCTCAGAATCACTGCTTGGAGCTGGAGAGATGGGGTTCAGGGGCAGCTCCCCTGGGCTCAGGCAGCACACTCATCCAAAGGCCCCCCAGCCACCGAGCAGGCCGCCCCTGGAAACCTGCGCCAGAACTTTCAAATCTCCGAGGAGGCGGCCGGCTGGAGAGACAGTCCTTCCGTCCAGTGTGCGCAGGAGCTTCAAGTGGCGGGCTGGCCCTCGGTCCCGTTCTGCACAGGCACTCTGGTGGCTGGTTTCCCAGTAGAAGCAGGCCTCGCTCCGGCTGGTTTGGAGTTCCAGCCGCGGGAGACGAGCTCCACAAGTGGCCTTGGAGGCCGCGGTCCCGGGCGCGCAGCGCTGGGCCCGGCCAGAGCCCAGCCGCGGGGACCGGTTCTGCGGCGCGGCCGCGCTGCAGCCGCCACGCTGCGGCCCGTCTCTGATCGCAGACCCGGAGCGGGGGGCGCGGGGGGCGGCGGACAGACCCGGCGCAGGGGGCTCGCCGGCAGGCCTGGCGCGGGCGGGGGGCTCACCGGCGGCCGGCGGGGCGGGCGGGAAACCCGGAACTCGCGCGCGAACTTCCCGCGCACTCGCTGCTCGGGGGTGTTTTCTCTTTAATATATTTTGAGAGTGTTTTCCTTCTCCCCCGCCCCTCTCACTCATTCCCACCCCCCTAGGCACCGGTTAGGCTGAGAAGCAGGGGGCGGCGACTGGGGTGGAGAAAGGCAGCGGAGGGGAGGGGCCCCATCACCCACCGGCCAGGCTGCGCCGGTCTGGCCGCCGGGCTTCTCCTAACCTGGAGCAGGGCCTGTCACTCACGAGCTGCAAACCCCGCGGGCGTCCTTCCATCCTGGGCCAGCTTCCAGCATTTGCACCTTGTTCCACAAAATCCTGCCGGATTCCTGCCGTGTTCCAGCCTCAACTGCTCGGCTCCCCTTACTGAAATCCACAACACACTCACTCTTCTTAGTGCCAACTTGACAAAAGTATGTTCCTCATTAATCGGTGTGGATCCTTTTACAAATGATCGGTTTTCCCTACACAACTTTTGAAAGTTTAGGTTTCCCTCCTAGAAACGTATGCTACCTTGTAGTTTCGCAGCGTTTGTCCAACTACAATCTATTGTCCATTCTGTGAGTCAAGACCACGCTCGTTTTTATTTCCGGGCCCAGCTCGGAGGCTTTTAGCAAAGGGATGCTCAACAGTGACTGAATGAATGGACTGTGTGAAACAGATGAGGTGTTTAACCTGAGGCTGGTTTTCATGCCCAAGGACTGGAGGCAGTGTGCCTCATCTCAGAGACTATTAGAAGTATCGAATGAAATAACAGATTTGGAAAAGGCTAACACAATATAGGGGATGGAACAGAGTTCGAGTAAGGTTTGTTTCATTTCCTCTGGCATTAAATAACTTCCTTAACATCATTCACATAAACCTTCAATTTTGAATCCTAATGCATCTTAGTGAATAGTACCTGCAAAATTGAATTGGGTGGATCGGTTTCTATAAAGCTAATTTAGTGTTTTTCAAACTTTAATCAACACAGGAACTACCTGAGGATCTTCTTAGAAAACAGATTCTGATTCGGTATCTTGGAATGTAAGGGAAATTCTACGTTTCTAAAAAGTTCCTGAGTCATGCAGATCATCTTGTTCTCTGAACTACCCTGAGTATCACGAATTCAAAGTTAAATGAGTGAGCCCCCACAGTGGCATCTTTCTAATGTAAGACTAGAAAAAAACATTTCTCGTTGAGAAGATAAAGATACTCTAGCAAAATTCATTCTTAGTAATGCCACCCCCCCCCAAAATACAAATTGCCTTTAGTCTATCTAAAAATGAATAATGAGTCTGTGATCCCTCTCAAATTAATCATAATTAATGCTTTTGGCTTGTGAAATTAATTTTGATATGTGATATGTAGTATCATTTGTCAAATACATAAATTGAGTAACCTTGCCTTTATGTCTTCTGGGCTATGATTTAAGAAGAACCACTGATATGGTGGATATTTGCAGTATTCCAACACATACTTTATTTTATTTAAATATGTTAATGTGTTTTTATTGATTTTTTAGAGAGAGAGGAAGGGAGAGAAAGATAGAAACATTGATGTGAGAGGGAAACATCTATTGGTCCTATACGCCCTCTACTGGGGACCGAGTGGCAACCGGGCATGTGCCCTGACTGGGAATTGAACAGGGACCTCCCAGTCAATCCACTGAGCCACATCAGCAGGGCCCAATACCTACTTTAAAATTCAGACACTGTTTGGCATTATTTAAAATAAATGAAAGTAATCATTATAGTCAATATTATTAGATTTAAAAAAAAAGAAAGAAAGAAAATTCCTGCCCTGGCCAGTTTGGCTCAGCAGTTAGAATATCAGCCTGTGAACCAAAAAGTCTCAGGTTCCATTCCTGTCAAGGGCATGGGCCCTGGTCTGGGTCTGTGGGAGCTGACCAATCAATGTGTGTTTCTCACATCGATGTTTCTCTCCCCCCATCCCCACTCTATCTTAAGATAAATGGAAAAATATCCTCTGGTGAGGATTTTAAAAAAAAGAAGAAGAAAATTCTTAAGTGTATAGTTCCTGAGAATTTTATCTCAAGACTTTATTTCTTAAAAAAATGCCTAAGATCACATTAGTTCTTTGCACAATAATTCAGCTATAGCAATATACCAACATATTTCAAGAACTCGGGCTTTTTCATTTTACTTTAGTGTGATGTTCAATCAACATTTTGTTAAAAGTCAGAGAGTTTACAAATTCAGAATTTAGTCTTATATTCTTGTCTCTAATCAATTTATGAGCAACAGGTATAAACCTATATTTGTTAAATGACTACCACTTACACTCCTTCCTATTTACTGAGTATACTGTCTTTGTTTTTATATTTTAACACTGCAAGCATTCTGAAACATCTATGATTCTTCCCTCTCTTTAAATCTCGAAATCTCATCTTTTTGTCATTTGTGTTCACTTAGTAATTTCTAAATTTCGGATGTCTTGTATACTTGCCTTCCCCCCTTCCCGATGCCACCGCCTTTGCCTCATTTCCTTGGGTATTATGGGATGAGTTTCATTTATTCAACTGCTTTTGTCTCCATACCAGTCCCTCTTGCATGTTGCTCCCAGAATAATTTTATTAACATTTATTTCATAAGATTTTAGTAAAAAAATAACAAATGACTTTCAAAACTTTGCAAAATCAATCCTATTCTACATCTTCTGTCAAACTAATTTTTCATTTGTTCTATATGTACATGAAGTTATTTCTTTGAAAAATATCTTTTCCCATGATTATCAAATTCTATAATCCTCCACTCTCATTTTCTCCAATATCTTTCTCTCTCGATAATTCTGCTGACATATTAACTCTTCCTTTTCTGAAAAAATTTATTTCATATATTCATGTGCAGAGGTATTATCCCACTTTTCAAAAGTTCACTTCATGCCACCTAGCTTTTGTGAAAGACCTACTTTAGTACCTGTTTTTGTTAACCCAAAGGAATCTCAAGAGGACATTTGCTTTTATGAGAAAAAGGCAAAAAGTGGAAATAGCGGTTAGCTTTGCTTTGCAGTGAGTGCTACAGAGGGAGCACCGGGTCCTTCCCCAGGAACTGCACTCAGCATCTCAGCATCAAGCCCCAAGCTCTGAATGGTGTCTGTGGGCGTCTGTGCTATATCTTGACTTATTTTGTGCATCATTCATTAGCAAGATGTGCCCTAAAGCAACTGCTTCTTCACTTATGCCATTTTGGGTTTCTATAATGGGAGAAAACTACCTAATTTTGTCATGAGTTCAATGCTTTGATAACCCTTCACTTAAATTGTTGTAGCTATTGATATTGCTGACTTGCATGTCTTCTTATTTCTTAAAGTATTCCAAAAATATTTCCATTAATTGCCAATATTTTGCCTCATTTTGAGACCAGGGAGTCCTGGGTTCTGTTCCCACCCAGGGCGCGTACCTCGGTTTCAGTTTGGCCTCGCACCGGTTAGGGTCATGTGGGTAGCAACCACTCAATGTGTCTCTCTCATGTCGATGTTTCTCCCCCCACCCCCCGCTCTATCTGAAGATAAATGCAAAAATGTCCTCGGGTGAGGATAAAAAAAAGTTCAATTCAATACAAAATACTATTTACCAGTAAAAATACCGAGCATCAGAGCAATAAAATTGGGTAAGACACAGCATCTTTCCTCGAAAGCAGCAGTTCTCAACCTGTGGGTCACGACCCCTCTGGGGGTCGAACGACACTTTCACAGGGGTCGCCTAAGACATAACAGTAGCAAAATTACAGTTATGAAGTAGCAACGAAAATAATTTTATGATTGTGGGTCACCACAACTTGAACTGTATTAAAGGGTCGTGACATTAGGAAGGTTGAGAACCACTGCAAAACGTCTCATGGCTCTTATTAGAAAAAGCAACCAAAACAATGTAAAATAAAAAATATATAAAATATAACAGAAATTTAGCACAGAAGATCTATTAGTAATCCTGCCTACAAGCATCAACATAGCCTTTGCAAAGAATACGGTATTAAAGAAGACTTGGGTGTCTTTCTGTGGACTCCAGGGAAATTTAGGGATAAGCAGTGTTGGTATCAACCAGTATCCATTTAATATTGCTGGAATACAAAGTGTGAAGAAGGATGTGACAGGAATTGAGACAAGAGAAGACAAGGCCAATAAGCTAGAGGGCTTCACATGCGAGGCCACGGTATGATCTTCTTTCTAAATGGGAACTACTGGAGTGATTGATATAAGAAAGGACATGGTTATATTACATTTCAGAAAGGTAATATAAAGATAATGAGAAAGACATGGTGTCCTGAAAACAAGAAGCAGGAATAATGTAAAGTTGCATAATCACAAACCATCTTGAGTAGGGAAATGCATTTTAAAATAAA